ATTAAAAACAATGAATAAATTGACGCTGGTATTAGAGTTATAAATCAATTACTAGTAGTAATCAAGTTTTCTTTGCATTAAAAACAACCTTAATAGAGTATTTGCCAAACGTATTGAATACTTGATATCGTGAATACTTTACTTAATGAAACTCTTTCGCGGTGGACGTAGGAAACGTCTGTTAGCTGGGGCAATGTGCTGATGAATATAACGCAAGAACAACCATTGTGGATTTTATAAGGACGGATAAGAAACAATTTCTGGTGAAGATATATCTTGCTGATCATTCGCTGAACTACGCTAATAAAACTTGAGAGGAGCTAGTCCTCATGTGTTACATTTTAGTTAACTTTATACTTTTCACTAATTCGACTCTTCTGATTAAATTCAACCAATTCTTTCTGATAACCGTCTTTTGGAAGCTGATAAAAATACTCTAAACATTCATAAATACATGTCATAGGAAACATACTCTTTGAAGTTCAACCCTTGGTAATATATTGTTCTTTCTGCATACTGATTGTTCGGATCATTCGACTGTCACTAGCGTAAACAATGTTACATGTAAACAATGTTTCATGCGTAAACAATGTTACATGTAAACAATGTTACATACACGTCGTATGCCCCGGAAACCGATTTACGGCTCCCCGAATACTTACATATACACAATCAATTAACCCTAGTCTTCTAACATTAGGGATGCGAAAATGGTATAACATGTTGAAGAGCGTGTTGTGGTTTTTATTTTATGATTATATCCGTACAAAGATCATATATGCCTTACTTTGATTCTGATTCAGGGCTTAACTAATATTCTATCATGTTGTAAATTTTGAATTTACTAGGGGGAGGTAAATGCAAAATTTACAACATGATAACATTTACCTCCCCCTAGTAAATTCAAAATTTACAACATGATAATTCAATGATCCTTGATCTACAACTAGATATAAAGAAACTTATACTGGTTTTATCACACGTTTACCCCTTTATCCAGTGGATATCACTCAATGGATACTTTTTTCATATCTCATACTTTGTAATCCGACGTCTCACGATGTACACATGTGTGTGCGTTTGTAAGTATGGAAGATCGAGCTGGAATTCATAATAGTTATAACATAAAATCGTTGAAATAACCGATCCCATTATTTTGTATTTAGTTCAGTATGCATTATTTTATTAGCGCAATGTTACTTAACCTAGACAGTCGACGGAAAAGCAAAGAGGCCCATGGGACAAGACGCTCATTAATCTTGACCCTGCTGTTTTTGTTTGTTTTACGTTCCTGCGAGAATATTTCACTCATGTTGAGACGCCACCAACTGATGGCGAAAGACAGCAAATTCAAACTTGTATTCGGCACTTACGGCCATTAAACAGTGAGGGATATTTTGTGCAAGCATCTACATGGGACCTCGGTCTATATATACTTTCTCTGTTTAAAAAGATCTAAAATATGTTCCCATTTCTTCCAATGTAAAACGTTGACCATTTCCTGTGGCCCAATCTTTGCCCTTGGGGCTATAATTTGAACAAATATGAAATCTGTACTACATGTATATTACGGAGGCCTTCACGTAAATTTTGTCTTTTCTGACTTAATGGTTCTAAGAAACGATTTTAAAGGATTCTTCCTGTGAAATTTCCCCCTTTTGCAGTTCTACCTTATCTCTAGGGACCAAGATAGAAAGCTTAAAGTTCACTGACCCTCTGATAAGAGGGAAAACACTCACTGTGATAATGGCTTTATTCATGTATAGAATTGTCAAGTTTCTGTCAAATTTTGCAAGGTATGCTAAAATTTTGTGTATTTTAATTAAAAATTAGATTTCCTTCATAAAATCATTAAAATCAAAGCCAAATTATATGTATAATGGATATTCATTAAGAAAGCTTTCACATATGTTTTGTCTATTCTGGCCCAGTGGTTTTCGGGAAGATTGGTTTCTAAACTTTGTCGCTCTTCTGCCGACTGTCTAACATGTATGACATGACGAGGCGCCAGAAAGCCTAGTGCGTCATATAAAACATATCCAGCAAGTGATAGTACTGGATAAAGGCGATAAAATCAGAACATTTATTTATCTCATTTTCACACGTTCACAATGTCACGATAATGCAATCTACATTTGCAATTAATTTAATTACATAATTTTTAAAAGCATGTTACATACATCTAGGTTCATTAAAAGACAACAAACCACGTGTCTCCTTTTGTCGAAAATGCTCACGTTTTCCGCGTTCGCAAAAGCAAAACACAGTAAAACAAAATGATTAAAATGGTTTACTGATGCACAAATACGATTATTTTAAATGTTTGCTTTTTATCAGGGACAAAGAATGCGGATGAATGACACTTGTGAAGATATTCAAAGTTGTTTTTTACTGTTTGATGGAGATAGCGAAAATTCGGATTATCTCTAGAGAAGAGAGACCTCATGTTTCCGGATACGCTAAACACAGAAATGCTCTTCATCAGATTCGTGATGTATCGTTAATTTATTGATAATTACCACATGAAAGCGCGTTTGATGCATTTATAACAACTTCATATCTGACAAGAAAGAGTATTGACACACAAAGGCATAAGGGAAGAATAAATTTGATGGCTATAAGTCTGCTTGTGTGGGATTTTTTTAAAAACATAATTTGTTGTGATAGGGAACCGGACAAATGATCACATTTGTTATACAAGTATATTCTCTAAAGAACGAAAGTTTATTATATTGCAGAGTTAATGAAATTTCATAAAATGAACAGAAAAGAAATAGACACATTAAATCAGAAATTTTTCACAGAGGAAAGACAAAATTGAAATTAAAGTGTTTCTTAAACACAAATGCCCCCGAACGTGGCCAAGTTGTGATACGAACAATGATATTTATATGATTATGCGAAATTTATTGGATTAACTGAAATTCCAATTTGCCATTTAATGTTATAGGTCAAACCCATCACCTTCCAGCCTACAATGTACGTCACACTTAAGTTATGCAACTGTATTTGACAAGATTGTAATCTAATATTACAGATATACAGAAATTGATAATATGAAATTAAGTTGCAACATCAGCAGGAAAAATGCAAATCATTGACAGTCATTTTTGTCACACATGTATGGTGGTATATACAATGTATGTGGTGTTGTATTATCGCTGAATTTTTCCCCCTTAAATTTTATCGACTGTTCGGATACTTTGCACTGTTAGCCCTAAGCCCAGTCGAAACTCACGAAGTACAAACTGTTACACAAAGTATAAACAATGATGCCGGCGCCGTTATCTATCAAATGCTTAAATATGCTATGAACACTTTCGAATATATTGCCTGACATCTCGGCCGTGTACATGGTTTAGTCTGGATCATCCCGACGTTTACTTATGGTACCTCGATCCCGGTAAACACAAACCTAGGGTTGATCCAGAGTGGTTTGCTGATCCAGTATTAAATTATTAATATATTAACTCAGGTTTTTTATGTCTTCATTAATAGTTAATTATGCGTGCCAAACTTGACGAGTTAATCTATTCTGCGATTCAAAACAAATTAAAGTAGACAGATAGAACGACAGATAGGACGAAAACACCCTGCTCCCCGATCTGAGCATAAAAATCAGAGAAAGATATTTGGATATTGTCTACCGAAAGAAAATTGGCCGTATAAACAACGGCATTTCAGTAAATCGGCGATTTTCTTCTTGCTAGATATAAAAGATCTCCTTAAGATAGTAATCTTTCAAAAAAAAAAGAAGTTCTCCTGTTGCCTTAAAAAAAATGAATGTTGTTTCCACATAAAAAATAATGTTTCGCTGAGAAATGTCTAGAATTTCGTGGAAATAAACTCAATATAACTGTATTTTGTAGTTTTTCGTGAAGAGATATTTAGTATTCTGGACATGCGAAGAAAACAGAGAAAAACAATACTCCTTCATTAGCTTTCACAGGAAAAAAGACATTCATTTACTTTGAAAAGTAATCCATAGCACTTCACTGAACTGAAATAATACATTTATATTGAAATCTTTTCGCTAAGATGATGTTTGTCTTTGAAACACATCATTCCGTAATTAAAACACCTCACGCACGTATCCTCTCCATCTTTCCTGGACCGTCAATATTTTATATTACAGAGAAATCTATTATTTCTTAATACAAAATTACTAGAATTAATCCCAGACGGACCCTCTGTGTCCCTTTGCTACTTACTGCATGAAGTGACAGTAGCGGAGAGTCTAATTACCGCAAAATCCCGACGACGGGAACCCACGGAAAATACATTTAATGAAGCAAACAACTTGAGCGTACAATATCGTGAATTGAAATTTTGCATTCTATCAATTTTGCCTCGAATATCAATAATTTCAGACTGCAATAATTTTTCCCATGCAGATGTTTATTGTTATAAAAATGTTGCTTATAAATAGACTTTTAATTCCAGTTTACGTCAATGACAACACAGAAAACAAAAATATATCAATTCTCTTCTGATTTTTGTTTTGCTTTTCTTTAATAGTCAACAAAAATGTGACTTTCTTAATAAACAATTGAAAAAATTATTAATTCATTTTTTCTGACATTGCACATCGTCTTTACCTTTACTTATTAATGAACAAGTCTATTTTAGCAGAGGAATGCTAAGCTCCAAATACATGCACACTTCGCTGATTGTACTGGTCCTAACTGAAGAGTACTAAACACAGAATATGTGACGCAAAGTTCAAATGTAGTTCCAGTTTCAGATGTATCTGAATATAAATATCTGATATACCCTGGAACAATTACTGAGATATTATACATACCATATCCGCCAGCTGTATCAAAGTAAGTCCAAACTTGACCGTTATGACGTGGCTAGCATTATATACTGGACGGGCAGCAGTGTCATAGTCTTTTAAGATTTTTTTCAACAGTCCCTGTTCATCAGGTATTTTTTTCACAAGTGCAGCTGTAAAAAATTAAATTAAATTACAAAAAAAAAAAAAAAAAAAATCTTACCATATCTGATATTTGAGCCAGTGTTATTCCAAATTTAACAAGAAGAATATGTGATGCATTAAAGACAGGACGTGCGGCAGGGTTATAGTCCGACAGTAAAGTCTCTAGTAAGCGTTGTTCGTCTGGTATCACACCGACAGACATCAAAGGAAGCAAAGACAGCCACAGAAAGGCCAGAATAGGCATCCTTAACACTCACAAATATTATTCCCATCAGAGGTACTTAAGTCTTAGTTTTAATATTTATTGATATTCGGTTGCTCTCGGCATTATTCATGTCATTTTGTCTTACGAAGCATCCGATCCTTCTGCTCCATGATCATGTTTATAAAAATTAAGCGCAACTTTTTGAAAGGTATGAAAAACGAGGAGATCTCGGCATCCTAGCAGATTTATCGACCAGCAGGCGAGAACATATCTGAGTGTTTTTAATTGGAGTTCCTTATCATACAGGTAAACAAATCTTTGAGCAGGTTCCTTAACGATTTTAGCGTAACTCATCTACATCAAAACTCATCACCAATAAGCACGTGGTGTGCGCGCGAGGCAACAATCGGTTTATTGACTACCAATCAAATCCTCGGACACAGAGATAAAAAGATAAGAATGTCTTATGCTGGGTAATTAATTGTATGTACTTCATTAAACACTAGACAAACCGAATGTAAGGTGCACTAAGGAATTAGAATCATCTAGCCAGTACAAGAGAAAAATGATAACCAGACTCTAATGAAAAATACAAAGAAACGCCGGCATCAATGGAACACAATCGAACGGGATAAAATACAACTCTGAAAAACATGAACTCAATAGCTTTTGAATTAAAACAGCATTCTATCATAGAAGAAGACAGGAAGAGATAGCAATGAATAAATTTCGGGATCAATTAAACAGAGAACAGCAGTATGGCTTACGGAATGTCTATTGTAATGTCTTCAGGAACCGAGTTAATCTTTCCCAATTGTAAACACAATCAAATTATTTGTTACAAGTATCATAATAAACTATATAATTAGTTACATTGTTTGTCTCAATTTTAATAATGCCCCCGCTCCCCTTAAAAACTTTGTAGTGTATTATAGATAATCTTATATTCTTATTTCATTTAAACCCTGCATAAAACCTTAAAATACCTATAATAAAAGGCAAAGAATAAAACTGGATTAAAATCCCGTAACTGTGATTTAACACTTTCAGTATGTTTTTGCGAATTAATGGGCATATATTTGACAAAGCACATCAAACGCACTAGTATCACTAGAAATTCTGTGCATAGCATGAACAAAACACATTATGATTTAAAACATCATAATTAAAACCAGACATGATTCTCAATTACAGTCGCGCAGCGTTAATCCAGACGCCTGTCTTCCCGAGTAAATCCGGATAAAGAAGCGTCCGACTGGATTACTGAAATATAATTGGTATATATAGATATAAATTGTTCCCCCCAGATTTCGTTACGTGAAGTGTCCAGATTATTGGGGTTAGGATTACCAATGCTCTACTGTATAATTTCATCTCACATTAGAGAGGATTACAGGCATAGATTAAGCCAAGCCTAAAACACCTACATGTATTAAATGTGATCTGAAAATGACCCTTGATTACTATGAATTCGAAGTAGAATATCTTTACTTCCAGAAATAACTATAAAATCTCCCACTGGGTATGATTTTCATCAAACGTTACGAGTTGTGTATTTTCTGTACCAGAGCTTTGGCGTAAGTTTTACACGTAGCTATAACATGATTCACACGGTTTGTATACATTTGAATCCACTTCATCAATTTCAAGCAAAAACTATTGTGACGTCACAACCAAGGATATCATACTATTATGGACTCTGTGTCGTTTATGACGTCACAATCCCCGCTGCACACGCCTTGTTCCTCTGATGAATACGACTTCAAACCCAGAGAAGATGTGTTTGCGTTTGTATACATGTAGATTATATAGGGACTATAAATAGACAATGTGTCACACACACCTGTGAATCCGATGACATAATCCTCCACTACGTAGAAATTCGTCCTCGAATTCTATGAGTTAAGAAAATGCGTGAAGCATGTTCCAAGGGAATAGTGGGTTTGTACGTTTGGCACCAAATGTCACAGGTGGTGAATATCAAGTCTCAACCGGGACTCGAACCCGGGGGATCTGGCATACCAAGCATCGCTCTAACAACTGAACTAATGAGACCAGATATATTGACTGACTTTCACACACCTGTGAACCCGGTGACTTATATATTAATATTAGTTATCCAGGTTCAATCAAGAATGTACCGCGGGTTTTATTCCATACAACCTGAGGCCGAAGGTCGAAGGGTGTAGGAATGGAATACAGCCTGGGGTAAATCCCCGTACACCCTTGATAATCCTGGATAACGAATTTATTTCCTGTGTAACCAAATAAACTTTGTTAAGGTCAAGATGTAGTCAATGAAAGGAGCCTACAGATTTCTCAAATTTGAGAAATAAATTTCTTTAATGATGTTTTATAACTACAGCTTGGACAAATAAAGTGTACCGGGGCATAATTTATAGCTAAACAAGACGAAAAATCATATTTTAAACTGTTATTTTCAATGAAAAACAAATTGAATCCCGGGAAAATACTTATTTTCAACATAATTCTATTAGAACTGTAAAGTACGGGAAAAAAAGAAAGTTTAAATTGTGAAGTCATAATGGATATAGCACCAAAAAGACAGTCTAAAATCATTTACTAGATCTTGAACTTAAGGACAGACAATACGTTCCTCAATAACATATAATTTTTTCAAGATTTTGTCATTGAAGTACTAATACTTTAACACGTTTCCTAAAAAAAAAAATTGAGGTACCTTACCAGGCATTTGTGCAAGATACCAGAGGATGATGTTTCCTATATAATCCTTTTGGGAAAAACTTTATTTGTCAATATCTCACTTTTTAGTGTTTCGATTATTTTAAGACAATAAGAAACCTGCTAAGAAGTCAGAAGGTAATTGAAAGTTTGAATATTTTTCATACATTACGAAGATTTGCAAAAAAGATATTTGAAGACCGTGATCGTCTGACCTTAACCCAAGTCCAATCAATGGTGCTTCAAGCTATTTTAGAAATTAAAGATCTACGTGCTACAATGCATCGTGACGGCATGTTATTTGCTTTTTGTGATAGAGAAAATGCATTGTGACGTAACGTTATTTACTCCCGGCTCAAGTCGGGTGTAAGCAAATTTACACCCAATCCGGGTGTGCTATTTGAAAGCTCGTGTTACAAGCTAGATAGAAAATAAGAAAACGATATCTTATGAGCTATATCCACTGTATAAAGAAGTAAATCTGCAATTAAATTAATATCAATATTATAACAGTATTCTGGTGATTTTTATCTTTCCAAGATTTTTATTTTGCACTTTCTGACTTATATACAATTTTTAATATGTCTAATTTATGATTCCGGGATGACGTATGAATCAACTTTAGCCTATTGTTAAAATCATAATTCTTACTACGGCCATGAAAATACATGTACTAGACCATGCTCACACACAAACCCCAAGTCATCACCAAAACCTTAGGTCATAGTTGCTCTAGACACGTCAGACAATGTAGAGGACATTGTCCATTAAATGTAGCACATACTTAAATAAAGTAATAAGCATTATTATGAAAGACCTTTACAAATGCCGAACACAATTATTTCCTCTAAGGGTAAATTTCTGAAGAATGATTATTTGAATTTCTGTCTGTCATTCAAAAATAGAGACAGTATTGAATTTACGTTGAAAATACAAAGAACGATGATTTTCATAGCTGAATATCAGCTAATGTTAGTAAATAAAATTAACCTTAAAACATGCAACTCGTATATAATCTTAGAAAATCAAAATCTCCTTCTTGATGCATCTTTCCTGCATGGAAAGTCACACAGGAGGCATGTTTACAAACATGGTCGGATGGTGACATGCAATGATAGATGTTTGTCAGTTACTATAAAACCTCATTTACCAAATCAGTTTTCCACGTGATCGGATTTTAAACATGACAGAAAGTCAAGGATTTTCAGACAATGGCGCTCTGATGTTAGCAGCCTGTGTGGACCCGTAAGTTATCCAGAAAGGTAAATATTTATGAGAATATTGAGTGTCTTATCAATAGTTGACAAGAACACAACATGCCAATTTTTCATTTGAGTTCCACCTGCTAGATTACATTTATATAGAGTGAACAGTGATGATCATAGTCACAACACCCTACAAAAATTTCCATACAATTTTCAAGGTGAAATTCTCCTAATTACTAAAACATACCTGCATTTTGGGATAAGATTTATTCGTTCAGGCTATCTGACAAAAAATGACTCTAATTAAGTAATTAATAATATTGCAGGGCATTTACAGCTGCATGAAATATATGGAGATAACGAACAGGATTCAAGCTCAAAAGTCCATTAAACAAAAAAAAAATAATTTTGGAGCAGAGCAAATACGAACCTCTAAAACATCAGAGGTGGGATCAGGTGCCATGGAAGAGTGAGCATCCCCTGTCGACCAGTCAACCCCCGCCCTGTACTCCTTGTCATAATCGGGAAATAACGGAAAAATCCGTTGACAATTCAGTGTGTAAATAATGGTCTAACAATTAGTATAAAAATCGTCAGTCAGCATTTGACTTAATGATACATGATATTTGCTGACAAGGTCATTGTATCGACCATAGAACTTCCGAAATGATGACTTTAAACGAGACTGCTGATATTCTTGTTTCATCAACTTGTTTGTCAATAACTTACCTCGTTTTAGATATTGTCCATACGTAGAGCATGCTCTTGCATATCGAATCAACTGACAGATATACAACCCGTATGCAGGTGATGAAGGTATATTACTGCATAAGTAAGGAAAGTTGACGATTGAAAAGTTAAAAGTCATCACGTTTATCATAAAACTTGGTTTTTATATTACCATTACGTCTTTTTCTAGTAAAATATCCAAATATGAAACAGATGTGTCAGACTCTGTGGTATCTTTTATTTCAAGCTCACCGGGATATATCGTATCGACATAAGAATGGAAATAACCATTGTCAATTGACAATATGTCGTCGATATATCTAAATGTCGAGTTGAAGCCCACAGCAAGTGTTTTCTTCTTTTCTCGTATAAGATACGAGTATGAACAAATTCTGCTTAATATGAATACAAAAAAGGTCGGCTAATAACGGGGCGCAATTGGTACCCATGGGAATTCCAAAAGATTGTTGGAAGACCTGGTCTCCAAAAACCACATAGATATTGTCAATCAGAAACTCAAGCATCTATTTTACTGCATTTATAAGTGGCATGTCACCATACCACAGGAGTTCGCGTACCTATCAATTTAACCGAAATTTTCAGTAAATAAAAAAAAATACGTAATACCTATAATAATAACACAAGGAGTGCAACGCATTCCAGGTCACCGGGGAACCGCTCCTTTAATATCGAGGCTGCCGCGCAATCAATTTTCAATCGAAAATTATAAAACACAAACCATTCTTTTCAGAAGGAACCATTCTTTATGTCTGTTAATGCATATGATTT